CCCCAAAACCCCAAAACCCCAAAACCCCAAAACCCCATGAAAGATTAGAGATATTGAAACTTATCTTTCAAAGAGACCAGCACCTCCTCCTGTGTTGCCGAATAGAGTTGTTCCGGTAGCGTTGTAGGTGTTATTGAGGCCTGTTGGGGTCTTCTTTTGATCGATGACTAAATCTTCATCATCATTGTCAACATTTGATGGCTTGATTTCAGAAGCTTCTTTAAACTCCTCCTTGGGCATTTTCTTCTTCTCTTTTTCTAAAGATTTATTTCAAATACATACCAACAACGATGTCTTGTTGCATCTGATACTCCTGTCCTTTTTCAACTAAGACTCCTGCAGCTGGAATGACTATTTCAACTGGAGGTTGTATCACTACTTTTGGCTCTACGGATTCTTCAGAAGAAAGGACCTCAGCTTCTGGATTGACTTCTTCATCATCAGCATCGGCTTTCTGTAGCTTCTTCCTGACTCCAAGGCAACAGAAGGGGAAGAGTCTAAAGAGGAGCTCAAAGATCCAATGAGCAACTACACATATGATGTTGAGAACTATAAGTCCGATTATTGCTCTCATACAATATTGAGCATATTGATAATACTCCTCATTGGACATTCCTTCCCACATGAAATTGTAGTGAAGGCCAAGTAAGACCAATCCTCCTACATCGTTCATTACTGAGTGAAACATTCTTATGTAGAATCTGAATGGCCTGACTACTAGTAGCCACAGAATATTCAAAATAAAAATTCCTTTCAAAACACCTAGTTGTACAACTGGGCTCTGAACGAACAAGATCATAATGGCAAATAGAATTCTTCAGGCTCAGAATTTCCAGAAGTAGAAGAATTGTATTGACTTGTACACAGCAAACTCGTCGAAAAGGATCTCTGAAAACATAAAACTCTTCTGTTTCTCTTCAAGTGTCTTCTTTCGGTATTTGAATGCCCAGATTGTATGAAATACAGGGTATGAAACAAAGAATCAGAAGAAAATTATTGCCAAAAGAGAAGAGATCTGGTTCATCACAGTCCCTGTGTTAAACTTGAGTATGTTCAGGGTGGAGAATAGAATAACTTTGAGATATAGAACCATAAAGCCCTTATAGTACATATGCCATTGATACAATCTCACCATATGTTTGTAGTAGTCCCATTCTCTACAAATCTCTGCTAGCATAACTACAAATCAGAGGAAGAGAAGTCCATAGACCCATCACATGAGAATGTCAGCTGTGTTATCAAGGAAAGAAGTGTAAATATAGCCATATCTTTCAAACCTGTAGTTGTAACTAGTCATTAGAGATAAGTTGAGATGATGATACATTCTTCCAATGAAGTTATCCCTAATTATGTGGTCATAACCATTGACCAATCCTGTATTCTTATGGTACCACATTAAGCACGATGGCAAGAAAACATTTGTTAGAGGAATAAAGTTTATATACTGTAGGACAAAGACTAAGCTCCAGGTATACCCCATGGATATCTTAAATGTAAGGAATGCAAAAATATTAACTCAAAGCATGACGATAAGCAAGGCCCAAGTAATGTTAGTTAAGGCATTCGAGTCACCACAAGTATTAGTCGCTTCCATCCCGTAAGCATCCATAGTCATATTCTGGGGCCAGAGGGCCCAAGTAAATTGCTCAGATCTAGTATTGTTCGGATTAATGATATTGAAATGAACTTTATCTATCCCTTCTCCAAAGAACTGCACAGAATCATCCCAGTCAAGAGAGATATTAAAGTCTCGTACATGCTCTGTAATTCTTAGCTCATCGAAATCATCAATGTTCCAATCAAGCACATAGATTTCTCGAGGTCCCGATGCATAAATTTCCCAATCGTTTACTGTAAAGTTTGTTGTGAAGTATACAGATGCATTGATGTGAATTTGAAGAATCCTATTGTCAGGATGAAGGGTGTAATTAGTAATATAAGGAAGGATTTGCCAGCATGAGTCAGCAGTTGTGCTATTTCCATAAGAGCATCTCCAACCAACTTCAACTTCTCAATTATTGTCTCATCCATCTCCATTGACTAAATTTCCATCGTCACAATCAAAATACTCAAAATTGTACCCGTCACCACAAATCTCTCTTCAAATGTTGAAAACATCATTTCTCTGAGGTTCTATGGGTCAATCGAACCCCCGCTCAATTTGGCAAGTTGAGGATCATCCATCACCATCTCTTGGATTACCATCATCTCATGGCAAAATTCCAATATTTCTACCATCTCCACAATTCTCTGTGCAGGTGTCATAATGGGTGTCATTACCACCTGTTCATGCCATTCCAGCTTCTACAATACATATGTGATCTCAACCATCACCAATATAAATATTCTTATCATCTCATTGTTTATTACCCATATTTTTACCATCTCCTCAAACTTCTTCGCAGATGTCGTCTCGGCCTCCTGTGCCTTGGTCACAGAGCCAGCCAGCTTCAACTTCGCAGATTGAAGAGCATCCGTCAAGGTCATTAACATCGCCATCATCACAGTTTTCATTGGCAACTTTAATTCCGTCACCTCAGTTTGGAGCACAAGTATCTAAATTTTAGAAATTTGTGTTACCTTTGGTAGTAGTGGTTCCATCATAACAACTGACTCCTTTTTCAATACGGCAATATTTGTCACAGCCATCGCCTGAGGCTGTATTGCCATCATCACAGTACTCTCCTGGCATCTTGAGACCATCACCTCAAGTTGGGAAGCAAGTATCTCTGTGAGTGGTGTCTCCACCGACACAGGTGTAACCTGTGTCAACTACTCAGCCAGTACATCCAAGTGCACCTGCATTGTCTCATTGCTCTCCAGCATCTCTTATCCCATCTCCTCAGGGTCATATTACGGGAATGAGCAAAAGGAGGAAGGATAGCCTATAACAAGATCAATCAACAACTTATGTAAAAACTGCTTAATCTCTTTCTTCAAGAAATATTACATTTCCAATGAATGTGAAATATTTCGTTCTTTAAAAGTAAAATTTCAGAATGAGAAAGAGTAGAAATTCATCAATTCTTTGTGAAGAAGTCAAGTTCACCAGTAATTCTTACAGTCTCGCCATATCCTTGATCATTTCAATATTATAATAATAGCTGGGGTTTTGGGGTTTTGGGGTTTTGGGG